TGCATTAAAGTTTTAACATTTTAATGAAAATTTGTTCTTCCAAGTTCATTTTAAGATATGTGAAAAAACAAAGCTGTTACCTTGGTTAAGTATCTCAGTACAGCTTTATATGTTGGTGAGGAATGCCTCATTCCCATGAGTATTCTCCTGAAAGGAAATATTTTAGTCACTTCTGTTTCTGCCTCTTTATTTGGAACTCCTAACAATACAAATTTCTGTAATGAGCTGTGACTGTTCTTTTGTTAATAGAGATTAGTGGCTCAGTTGCTGTACTCTGAAATATCAGGGATATCTTTGCTTTTTGGTTTTTTTGTAATTATTTCACATCCTGATTTTAGTTTCCAACTGGACAGTCTGGAGTCCCATGGCAGTTCAGGCCAGTCTCTGTTATCATACATAGTCCTGCCTGTGGGCCAGTACAGGCTTTCGATCTCATTGTGAACTGTTTAAGGGAGCTAAGTGGTCCAAACCCTTTAACGGGCAGGTGGCTATCCTTTTAGCTGGTTGTATTCCCTGGTTCACCTGGTGTTGATGCAAAGGGTCCACATGAGCTGGAGGGAAGGAGAGACAGAACCATGGTGCAAAGAGACACCAGCTCCTGGATGTGCCTCCTTAGCACTTCCAGTTAACCATCAGTCCTCTTTATTCCTAAGCATGAAAGGCTGATTGGGTTGTGTGAGGTTTTTTTAAAGTTACCCAATTCTTGTCACCTGTCTCTTGTGTTCGTGAACCTTCTGGGTCGTAATCTAAACAGCAACAACAAAAAATTGTCAGGAATCCTTCCCAATGTTTTTGCTGCTCCTGATGCTGGTTATTTTTTGACACCAGTGAAATGACTGACACTTACATCCCTACTACCTTAGAGCTTTTTTTAATATGCTAGGAGTAAAAGTGCATCTCATTCAATATCCTGTCTCCAGCTTTTGTTGCTCTGTTTTTATGACGCACCTTCCTTCATGTCTGCTAGCCACACGACTGGAGCTGTAGTGAAGTTCTGGACTTTACAGGATACCTTTATATCCTCTGATCTTGCAAAAAAGTCTTTAAAGATATTCCATCTCCCTAGTATTTATTCCCAAATGCTTTTTATAAACAAGAACTTGGATTCCTTTTTTAGTCCTTTTGTTTTGCTACCTTAATCTCATTTCTTAAAATATATTTTTAATTCTCCTAATTATCATAGGAGTTCTCCTTCATGACCTTTTTATCTCTCCTGCCCGTAGGTTTGTTGACTTCATTCCTGAACTTCTTAATGAATTCTTTATCATGCTTACGTGTTCATACTGAAAATACCTTTCTGCATGGTAATGTGATTCTAAGGCGCCTTTTCACACCTGCTTTCTATTGATTGTCTTAAAATTGAGCTGTGCACTGTCCTCTCTCTGCTTTCCAATGGTAAGTCTGCAGATTATAGTAGCAGCTCTAGTAATTAGTCTCCTAAGTGATCTTAGAAGTGAAAAAACATTTAATATGATGATTTTAGTCCATCGTGTCATCTCATGGTTCCCGCATAATCATTAGATGCATCTTGTGGTCTAAATTTAAGAAACCTTCTATTATATTTTTTCCGAGCTATATTCTTCAATGAGAGCAGAAGGTTAATGCCTTGGTTACTCAAGTGGATAAAGATTGGGCTTGCCTGCTCTCTCTTCTCAGATTTCATAGCTGTGGTGCACAATGTAGAGCTTAAACTTTCTCTGACAGATTTCCAGTTAATTGTTTTCATTTTCTTTTGCTCACATCTTGTCACTTATCAGCTTTATTAGTTAGGTAGTAATATACTTGCCTGCAGCAAGAATCTTTTATTTGGTGTGAGCAGTTTAACAGTGAAAGCATATTAGAATATGTCATCTAAGTGTAAATGAAAGCATTCTCATATGAAAGATTAAGAGAAGATTACATTGCAGCCATATTTATTTTGCTAGGAAAGCTGTTCTTTGTTTAAATTTCTTTAATACCTATCTATTAAAATAACTACATAACGAATACTGGTTATGTATTTTAGAGATTTTTGTAGTTGATTAACATTTAATGCCTTGCTTCCAACTATGCCTTTTCACAAGAACTTACTCTGTGTTCTAGTGTGTCTTAAATAGAAATTAGAGGAAAATCTGAAGAACATTGATGCATTCTAAGGCAATTGAAAGCAAATCTGTAATGTAAATAACGTTACAGAATCTAAAACATTATTTCCTTAAAGTGGTATGATTTTTTTTCTTAATTTGGTCTGTTTCAGAATGGCCTTTTTTACTCCTGGTGATTTTTTTTTTTTTTTTTTTTTGAGAAAGAACTTCACTTTTGTGTGTGAACGCTTGCTGGATGGTAGCCAGACAAACTGGGGAGGCTTTCCTAATTGCCTCCTCCCGTTTCCTGAAACCTCCTGCCGCACTCTGTTTCAGGCTCAGAGTAGCAAAGCATATGTTTTGATATCTAAATGATAACTGGAAATACATAACATAAACTTGTCTTCTGAACTGAGGTTTCTGTTTGTATGTTTTGAACCTATAGGTTTTGGAAACTTAATAGAGGAAGTAAGGTCTGAGTACAAAGCCAAAAAGGCTGGTTTTGACAGCAGCATTGTGGAGAGTCTCCTTGTGGCAAAGCTGACATGGAAGTCGGAGAGTCATGAAGTCGTTTTAGTTGGAGATCCACCTGTGGAGATGGTCAAGACCTAACTGAGCATGGTCCTGGGCAACCTGCTCTAGTTGGCCCTGCTTGAACAGGGGTTGGACTACATGGTCTCCAAATGTCCCTGTCAATCTAACCAATTCTGTTCTTAGGCTTTCCTAGGAAATCATGTGCTGTTCATTGCAGGTTTGATAATAAATAATTTCAGCTGTTGCATTAATGCTAGTTGAATAGCTGGTATCATTGGCTAGCTTGTGATGGGACTGTTGAGGTGTGCAAGCTTCCCCTTCCTCTGCTCATTCCTGTAGTCATTAACTTTGTGGTAAGAACACAGCAGAAACAGTAAACCTCCTGCCGTCATGGTGCATCTTCAAGACACTTTACAAACATGTAACCTTCACACTACCCTTATGTTACAGCCACAGGCTTTAGTTTCACCTGTAAATGGCAAGTGTTGTGTTAGCTGGGGCTAACGGTGGTTCCAGCAGTGTCCCAGGACTGATGATGTGTGCTGAACGTTGGCCATAGCTGTTGGTCTGATCAATGGCATGGCTCTGCTTTTTGAATGCCTGAGAAGCAGATTTGGCTGGCATGTTTTAAACAAGATTTCTCTGCAGATACTGTGTAAAATCAGCCTTCATTAAGGGTTGAATCGGGGGAAAAAGTAGCTTTTTTACAGAGCATATATTGGTTTTGGTTGTGCACATCTTTCTAATTGCTTTCCAGTAAAATCCACATAAAGATGTTGCCATCTTTACCTTTCAAATTATCTTCACTAGATGATTATCTATTTCAAAGATACCCTCTTTGAGAGTATATATTATTTTTCTAAAGCTTTTAATGGTATCCGTGTTTGCAGGGCATGGGGGAGGCTGAATGCTAGGGACTGACTTTTAGTAGCTTCCAAGAGAAAGATGTAAGGTCAGTTTTTCCTTTGTGTCCCTTGAAAGATGGAAACACTACCAGATTTTTCTTCTCCATATTTATTGCAAGATCCTGTTCTGTTTCTATACCTGTGGGCTCCTTGTTGGAGGGCTTGGTCTCTCATTTCATGCCTGCTGCTGTGCATTTAATTATCTTTTCTTATTTCCATGTTA